GACATGGTTTGTATAAAATAGGAAGTTAGAAGGATAGAACGAAAAAAATGTAGGAACATGGATATTTCAAATGGAAAGTAAACTCCTGTGCTGACTTGTTAAATTCACCATCATAAAGGAAAGATTAAGTATTTTTTTTCCCCAAGTGCCACTGCTGGACACACAACACAAATCACTATCCAGAGTTATAATTAAATCTTGCTCATTTGGGGAATATTCTAATAGCACCTTTACAGATAGGCAAAGAAAGGCCATTACTTTAATGCCCTTGTCATTGTAATTGTAATTTTATTTATAGTTTATATTATATAGAGACTCAAATATTTTTATCTGTGATGTTTCCTCCCAAAGACCTTTTGCTCTGACAATAACGGGTACTGCATGAGGGGAGAAGGCACCGTGGACAGGGTGCTCCATAATGTCACTCTTGGACCTGGCTGCCACTGGGAGACTGGCTGCTACAGACATCTGCAAGATTCCTCAGAAAAGAATCTTCTGAATTCAAACATTAAGTTTCTGAAACTTTACTGTGTGGCAATTCTCTACTTATTTATGACACTTGACTTCAAGCTGAGCTACCTTTTTTAGTTAGTTCTAAGGATTTTTTTCTTTTGTTTCACACAGGTCTCATAGCCAATTAGAGAAAATCCTATTAGCTGGCTCTTACATGTATATTGACCAAATTAAATAAAAATAAAAATTTAACAGCCATATGCATTCTTAGACAAGCTGCATTATGCAAATTATAACAAAAAAGTTATTCCCTGTAGTATTAAAAAACGTTTATTACCAGAAGGCTTACAAAAATCAGCAGTAAAACAAAGTCCAGGAATTTTTAAAAGGTGTCTCCCCACCAACTTTCATACGTGCAAACATTTATCTGAATGCATTGCAAGTTTTAACTGTAAATGCACAATATATGCAGAGATATATGTTGACCAGCCAGTAACAAAGGCAGTTAATCAAATATGAATCCTATCCAAGTGTCTTGTCAAGCCAGGTAATGATGTCCTGCCAGCCAAACTCAGAGGGAACATGTGAAACAAATACAAAAGTAAACAGTCCTTAAGCTGCCCAAGGGAAAGTCAGCAAGATGGCAATTTCAATCATTTGGAATAATACTAAAGCAGCCTTAGGCTCTTCTCAGAATGGAAACATGTCACTGTTACTGCAATATTTCAACAAATCAGAAGGCAAAAGAAAGGAACACTTATGTAATCACAGCCATGGAGCAGCGGTTACCCAACGGTTAGGTGGAAAATAATTAAGGGCAAATTCCTTTTATGTGAGGAATTGCAAGCGCTCTTAAATAAAGAAATACCACATTTCCTTAGAGACTTATCTGACTGCAGAAAAACAAAACAAGCAAATGAACAAACAAACAAAAAACCAAATACCCACAGCGCAGACATAGTTTCCTTGGGTTTCAATGCAGGAGGCTTTGGGGCAATGAAGATCTACCAAAAAACCCACAGGGATAACATTAGCAGGAGATTTATCAAATGCTGGTAAAAGTTACGCTCAGAGGTACAAATTGAGCACAGAGTACTTCAAATACAATGCAGCTCAAAAGTTCTGTTAAAGATGAATGGGTTGTCATATCATTTAACTGAGAAATCAAAAAATATTTCAAATATTTGGGGAACTTACCTAATCAGTAAACTTTCAGTATGTGTCTAGTCATGTAGCCATCTTTTAGTCAATCATCAGAAAATCAAAGGCAAATTGGCATGACTCAACCCAAACTTTAATACCGCATGATTGTGTCGTGTAAGCTTGTTTTGTGCGAGGGCTGCTGTGGTTTTAGCAGGGAGATTAACGACCGGACCTAAGCTGGCCTCCAAACCTTGCCCTGCTGATGCCTCAAGCCCTTTGAAGTCTGACCATCATACCTGGCAAAACAACAGTGGGAACTAGGCTGGTGTCAGATCTAATCAAGTTTCCTGCCTCAGCATAGCTAACTATGGGGTACACTAATTGGCCCAATTGCGGATTATACCTTTTGCTACAGATTCAAGACAATAATTTAGTCAAATGATGGTTTTTATCTCCTTCTAATTAAGATTCCAAAGTGGGAAGAAATAGGATTAGACAGACTAACTTCCAAATTGTGTCCTTTAAAGTGGTATGCACGTAGGTTAGGTCTATCCTGGCAATATTACATGTAATATTTTGCTATTAACTAACAAGTAAAGACCTGGGAATTCTTCATCTAGCTATTGCAGCTTTTACCATAAATATTAAAAAAGTTCAACCCATGTTTTGAAGCAGAAAGTTAATACTCATAAATATTCATAAAAAAGCACATTCACCCTTAAGATAAAAAAAAAAATACTCTTTAAAATACGTTTCAACCCAACTTAGTTTGATGAAGAAAATGCAAGAACAATTCAAACAACTGAACAACTCCACAGGTAGCATCCCTCCTACAAAGACAAAAACTGAGAAGCCAGACTTGACACTAAGGTTTCTTCGTGGTGAGGGCCAAACTACAAGCTACTGAATAGGTGAGCAATCCTGAGACCAGAACAGCCATAGGGGCTCCAGTGCCCACACTCAAAACTGGAACGTAAGAAAGACGGGTTCAGTGTTTTCTTGCTCCAAGTCACTGGTGGTGGGTTTCTCCCTTTTCTCAAGTAATTTGATTACAATTTGAGATTTCGAGCAGAGGTCAACATTCTTACCCCGAATCTTGTCCCACTAAGCTGATACTTTCCAAATTGTGATGTAGTCAAATTATTGCTACGTTCTCAAGTCCTAAATATAAGTGCACTTTATATAAACCCCTCTCCTGTGCTCTTATGCTGTTTTGTTTTTGCCACCAGAACTGAAACTGCCTGCTGACTCCTCCTCCCCTAACTGCAGAACCCAATTTTAAGAGATACTATTTGCATCCCTTCTTAATTCAATTCTTCCTTATTATCATTTTCTTAAGGACCTGTTTGCTGCAGTCTGTAGCTGTAGCCTGTCCCTCCTAGTACAAGGAACTAAAAGTAGGGTTTTACATATATACACACACACGAAATGTGTGAAATGTGTACAGGAAAATCACAGTAGGACAGTGACCTGATGCACCCAAAAGGATCAGTGTGTGTCACTTATTTAGAAGTGGCCCCAACTGACCACTGAAGCAAGAAAGGATTCAAGTGGGTCATACAGGCAGCTCTAGAGCTGCAGGTTGTTTCAGGAGTTCTAGTGCATCCCCTCTGCAAACACTTCTGTCCCACGGCTAATGAATTCTTTATGCAGAGTCTCCTGTTTAGTTTAGCTTCTTTCTTTTAAATTGCATGACAGTATAGAACCTCAAATAGTGCTGGCAGAAAAATCATACTCTGTCACGATTCATAATGAGGGGGAAAAAAAGCGTAAATATTCTACTTAGCTAAGACAAATGCGAATTCACTTTGTTGGGAAATTATGGTGCATGTTTCTCTGTATTTCTGAAAATAGTGAGTTTGCTGTTTGGCATGTTATGTAAATGCCATGCTTGTATTTAAAATAAACCATGAGCAAGTAAGGCTTTTCTTGCTAAGTACTGCTCAAAAAACAATCCAGTGGTTAAATAGTTTAACACCTCACAATGCCTGGTTTCATTAGTCGCAGTCTCTGCAAAACCAAAACCATGATAAATGAGTCTCTTAGGGGAAAAACAAAAACAAAACAAAACAAAACAAAACCCTCCTTGGGGAATTTGCCTTTAAGTGGCTTTTGAAGAGGGGATCTCTAGTTGAGAAACTTCTAGCACTCATGCAGAGATGACCTGCTTGAAGAACTGGCTGCATGATTAACTATTAACTACTCTCAATAGGATTAGATAATTAAGGACATTGATGACCATTAATTAGGAGGAGGGTACCTTAATTTGTCACTTGATAGGGCTTTTTCAATGATTTATAGGTTAGGGCTACTTGCAATTGTGAAAGGGGGGGTGGGGAGAGAGAGGGAACCCTGAAGTTACCTTCTCAAGTGGCCAGCTAAAAAGGGCAGCGGGTCAAAAAAGGGCCAAAGTGGTCACTTAAGGGTGAAGTCCCAAACACCAAAGCAGTGCCAAGCCACATTGACCATCATTTGGTGATTGAGTAAAAAATATGCTAATTTATTGGTGGCAATTCTCTCTTTTTATGGTTTCAAGCAGTTAAGACAAGTGGCCTGCTTAAGAGCTTTTCACTCAAAAAGATTAAACAAAATGGTTTGTCAGGGATGCTTGGCTGTTTTATGTCTTTGTTAATTTTTTTTTTCTGCACAGACTGTACCGATGACTATCACATTGCCCAAAAAGCCATCTCTCCTCTCCAAGCATTACTTGGTTAATAAATACATCAGCTCTAATTGCTTAATAGTTCTATGTTCATTTGCTCCTTAGCAAGATTAAAACGAAATACATCTTTTGTATTACCACCTTCTATCAAGACTGTCTGCATAAAGGTCACAGAAAAAAGTTTAAATTTAGTAGGAAATTTACTTAAAGACATTAGTGTAAATGATACTGTGTTTAAAATGACATAAAAGAGCGAAAGGTGATTTCAGTAATGCAAAGAAAATGGTTTCTGAATACTGATAAGGACACTTATCCCTCATACCACACACAATTTTAGGCAGCATTATACATTAAAATCCCTCTACCGGGGTAATAACATGTAGCTACCTTCCCACCCACTAACACAAGTAAGAGCAACTCATTAACATTTAATTAAATATGCTCCTGACATCCTTAGAAACATGTCACGCTTTGTTATTGAAGGTTGTGGCCTACTTTCTATGTACATTTTAAAACAAAATAAACTATTTATAAAAGAACGATTTAGTGCAGCAAATGAGACATTTTTAATTAGGAGGCATATTCAAATATTTTATAAAACTGTTCTGAACAGCAGAAATATAAGGCAACGAATTAATAACATCTGACGCATATTTTATGTATTTCACAAAACCAAACATAAGAGATGGGATTAGCTCCACCTTTTGGGTTCTAAATAGTGAAACAAAACTGTTTCTCTTACCTCAATGGTGAACTGCTTCCTTTTTAATCTAAAAGCAAGGTCCTTCGTGTCTGACACATCACAGATCAAGCAATTAAGCCGAGGAATCTGATGAACGTGAATCAAACCTTGTGAAAAGAAAAAGGAGGAAAAAAAATTAGGAAAACGCTGTCATCCAGATGCATAAATTAAAGAGTCTTACAGCCGAATTCTGTATATTTACACACACTCATCCTCCCCTTTTTAAACTGGAGCTTACTACCAGAAGCAATGAAGCAAACGGTGCGATTATACTCAAGTAATCAAGCAGAATAAGATAAACAGAAATCCTTGTGCGAGGAAAACTAATTGCACTTTGGTACAGAAGTACAGATGTAAAGAGGGATCTTAATACTTGTCAAAACTACAGCCGGTTTGTGTGTGATTTTCTCTTGTATTTACAGTAAGCAAATATGGCTATCACCTTGCATGCTGCCCACGGCACCACTGAGTGATCTTTATTTTATTAAATGCACCAGTAAGCAGCCAGCAAAACAAGGCTTATGGGTTACTGATAACCACTGAAGCTCTAATGAGAACTTTGCTGTGCCTCGAAAATAATTTAAAAAAAAGCCAGTGGAAAATAACAATTTAGATGCTGCTTTTTGATATGCTTTATCCCCTCTATCTTCCTAAAAGAAACACATTTGTTGCATGCAAGAGCTTTATATAGCCGTTCAGATTTTTGTAACAGTACTAGATACACTGCAAGCTCTGCATTCTGTCAGCTGAAACTCAAGCTGATTTTTTCTGACAAGGACGCTGGATGGTTTTTGTGCAGCCTAATATAGCTTCTGAACAACCTAAGGGTGAATTTCTACAGCTGAAAACCAAGAAAATTCTATGGGGCTTCTCAATTACTGGCCTATATTTGCTATTCAGGAAGGCAGAGTCTAAATGGAAATACAGAACATTTAGAAAAGATGTCTAACTTGAAAATGGCAGCTGTGAAAAACCAAGAAAGCCCTTACTGAAAATATGGCAGAGTATCATTTAGGGAATTACTTATTTTTTAAAGGGAGAATAAAAGGAGATTTTTTTAATGAAAATTGGAAGATTTTAAACAGCACAATTTATGCACATACTAATTATAAAAATCAAAATTACTAGAAAAATATTATTACATGCTTATGCCTTCTACTATTTTTTTTTGAGTTCAAAATGTAACTATGATATGCAAGCAGTTATAGTACAGGGATGCAAAAACATTATTCTATAAATTTTATTTAAAGATTGTCTGTACCGTTTTCACTTTTATTATTTTACTGACTTTTCAGCCATGTAAATTTACAGACATCTTAATAAAATTACTAATGCATGATTAATTGAAGAATGCAATAATTTAATCAAACTTTTCCTCACTAATGGCCAAATCTTCTACCATCTGCAGTAAATAATCTTAAATACATATTTCTAAGTAAAAATAATTCACCCTGTTAAAACCATTTAAAAAACCTACCTATTTTTAAAATGTTAAATACAGCTTGCCTGAAATATCTCTAAAGCTATTTATTGCCATGTAAGTAGTACCAAAATCATGAGAGCATACAGTTCCACAGCAAAACAGGAAATATCTGTTAAAATACACGCGTTGTCCTGAAGGATCCCTTCAGCATTTTGAAAAAGTGTATCAAAATGACAGAACTATGTTAGCATAAACAAACACCAAATCTCACTTATACAATTGGAAAAATAATTAGGCAAATTATTCTAGCTTTTGTTCAGAGCTTCCTTTTAATCTGCCTCCTTTTTCATATAATCAAATATTCTTCGCTTGCTCAGCCAAAAAACAATTTGGTTGAAATTATTAAATTTACTTATTTTAAAATAAATATAATAATTTATTATTATATTTATTGTAAATTTATTAATTTTAAATAATTATTTTTATTTAAAATATTTTTATTTTTAACTTAATTTTAAAATTAATTTATTATTAATTTATTATGATTTATTAAATTCTAGCCTGCACAGACAGTGGTGTCTCAGCACCATCTTTGCCTCTTTTTCCACATGCTCTGCTATGGAAAACACTGCCACATTCGCACATGTTTACAGCAGCTTTCGGATAAGCAGTTTACTTTCAACTAGAGGTTTCCATGGAACTACAGTAGTATCACAATAATAATAGCTGTAATTTATGCACACTCGGAGCACCGCGCTGGATTAGCTAAAACTGCTTGTTATTCACTGCTAGGGCTATGTATAACTTCTAATCTCATCTTTTAAAATTTAAATAGTTCTGCTGCAGCAGCTTAACAAATCTTTGGGAAACAAACCACAAGATTAAACACCCCTACCTGTTTTGAAGATCAATCACTTGAAAGCTTGCAAAAAATTATATGTCTTTACACGAAAATCAGTTTCATATTTTAAATGCTGCACATACCCACATTCATTACCTCAAATGTATAACTGCCGTTACACAAAGCCGCAGAGCAGTATGCTCTTTTCAGGGAAAGTTTACATATTACATCATTTAGCAGTTTATTCGCCTTAATATAAGCTATGTTTTTCCATGTTCTCTATTTAAAACTTGGCAGATCAGGAGTATTGATTTCATGACAAGTTCAGCTCACTGGTCAGGGGATTGCCAAGCCTCCCCTGCATGCGAATTCCCCAGAGCCTGCCTGGTGAGATGCACGTCTGATTGAGCTGTGCCTCCCTAATACGCCCTGACAACATGCAAGGAGTTGCCATGTTGCCTTTGCAGCCCTAATGCACTTTGCTGAAAATTTCCCTAACTCAAGACTGGTTAGCAAGGAGAAAAATTTAAGAGGTAAATTCACAAATAAAATCAATAGCTGCTTTATAGCGGATACTCCAATTGGAGGGAAAGCCGCTAAGTGCCCCAGAAACGCTCAGGGCAGGCTTTTTGCGTTGCTAAAGATGGTACTTACCGTGGTAATCCTTGTATAATGGATTGGTTTCTCTCTCAGAGCCAATAAATGATTCAAGACCAACTACCACATCTGACAAGTTTGTTACACGTTCCATAATTGCTTTATTCTGTAAGACACGGAAACAAAATACACATCCTATATGATGAAAAAGGTAATTAATGTTCATGGAGTAAACCTTGGTCTTCTCGGTGACAAACTGAAGACAAAAAATAGGTCATCAATACCTAGAAAACATCTCCAAGGTTTTTCCAAAAGCAAAACCAAACCAAAAAACTCTGAAATGTGATTCTAAAGAAATACAGACACTCGACACGAAGAAACCATAAAAAAGCCAACTTGGAGCTACTTCTCTCTCCTTTCTCCAAATGTAACGCACACATTTGCTCACTGCAGAGGTAATGAGAAGCACAGGCAGTAGTTAAGCACTTTTCATTGACTTCTGTTATGAATCAGATGCCCGGCTTTTTGTGTATTCTGGAAACCTTCTTCTTTAATGCACTTAGGTACATCATGTCCAATATTTTGAGAAAGCAAACACATTTGCTCATTTTGCTCATCATAGGAAAAGACCTGATTAAAAAGTAAAAGCAAAGTATTTTCTTCCAGAAATCTTCTTTCTAAAAGTACCTCATTACATAGCACATGAACCTGAAGCTCCAAACAGAAGTGTCTTGTGTCAATGTATTTGCAATTTATACGTGAATTCATCTCCTGTTCAACAACGCATTGTCACATGCCTTATATCAGCTATTTTTCTGCACAATTTTAAACTTAATTTTATATAACAGAAAGCAATATTAAAAGACCACAATGGAGATCTTCATAGGTAACCAAGCATAAAATGATCTGATGATACTTTGATGACGTCACTAAGTAACAAACAAAAGAGACAAAATGCACTAAAATCAAAAAACTCCTTTAAGACAGGAAGCACTCACCCTAAAGCTGCCTGTACAGCTTATACGTTCTTGTTCTGGATGGCTGTGGACTCTGTAGACCTACTTAAATACCCAGCATTCCAAGATCAACCACTTCAAAAAATCCACTCAAAATAAGAAGAATTAGCTCTGTACCTCTAAGTTATAATTTTGTATTTTTTATATATATTTAAAGCCTTTTGTATAGTCTATAAACTTCTATAAACTGTGACCAACTTTGTATGAAAGGTCCATTTAAATACATACAAAGAATATCAGTAAAGTACTTTATAAATAATAGTTTATATATTATATAGGACCAGAGATAAGGGGGACAACCCAAGATGTATTAATAAAGCCTACACATTACACTGGCACATGGGTTTATTGCAACAAGGAATAAAACACCAGCTGCTTTCACATTTCCACATTTGAACAACTTAGCCTCTTCTCCTAGCCACCAAGAAGCCTCCAAAGGCAGACATGAAATGTGGCCATTTCCTATTCCTGTTGGCAAAGGATCCAATCTCTTCTTAGACCATTACATAAGGCAACCTGTGGCCTGCCCTGCACACACCAATGTGCTCAGGCTGGAAGGTAAAAACGTGTTGCCCGGCACCCTTATGCTCCCTCCCTTTCCCACCTTATGGACCAGATGGCAATAAATCCTGGGAACTGATCTCTTTTCAAGGCCACTATTTGTGCCAAGGCCAAAAGGGTATATCCCCTTGCAATCTGAGAACTTCAATTTCATCTACAAAGGCAACTTCATAATTTATGGTAAAATAAAGTTATGCTACCGAATTTCCTTCCTGAGGTCTAACACAACCTTGCCTACGCATCAGACACCAATCTTGGATACTGTGTGCCCTAATTACATCTTCCACTGAAATATTAAAGCAGACTTGCAAATCATTTCCCCTTCAAGGGAGAGAGACAGAATACTATATTTTAATGGAGCATCTTGGTCACATTATCGATAACTTCAGGGGCAATCACATAGATTGGAAGTTACCTTATTTTACCAGCCCACTGCAGGTTGTTAGATGTTACTTCTCACAGGTGAGCAACACAACTGTTATATGGATAAATTCTGATGATTTCTGGAAGTTAACTTAAACTCTTAGCAGAGAAAAACTATTATGCCATTTGAAAAAATGTTTGCTGTCTATTAATGTTTCTGGCTTGCTAGCACTGAAAATCAACAGGCTATGAAAGCTATGGATAGAAAAAAAAAAAAAAAAAAAAAAGGCCAACCATCAACATCATTTCATCACTAAGTCCTGTAACTCCTAAGAACAGCATGTTTGTTGTTTAGTCTTAATTCTGTAAAAATTGAAGAATGCCATTAAGTGCAGTGCTGCTGAGACAGCAATTCAATATTTGCCTACCAGTACCTAGGTCAGGACTAGTTTCAGCTGTTTTCTGACGTGCAGTCCCTTTGCCTATGTTGATTCTGTTGCTGCTTTTACGCTAAGTCAAAATACTCTCCTGGCTTTATGCGGGGTATCTTGGGAAATATTTTGCACAATGACTTGCCACAACACAGAGATGTTTGCTTATGTGGCATTGCTGTCGCAGATCTATATCTATCTTGTATTTTCTAGTTTGCAATGTTCAGCACATTAATGTGCACTCGATGCTGACGTCAGCACCCGGATAGTTGTGATGTATGGCACCCTGACATAAACACACAAATCATGTTGCCCCATCTGGGCTCGAAAATGCAACAGAGCTCCAGATCTTCCTCCAGCCCCATACAAATCTACCTCCTGCTTCTGGCATAAACTTGGCAGCTCTGGAGATGAGCCAGGACATGGTTAGGAGGGAAGCCAGGAACAGGGAGATTCAGGAAAAGAGTTTGTTGGCAGCTAGGAGAGGTATTGTTTTAAATTACATTAAAAATAAATAAATAAAAACCAACACCCACAACTCAATCCTGGAAAGTTTTCAGTCTTGCTAGATGCACTACAGCTTTCCTAAATCAGTTAGAAAAATTACATTTTGGCTGAACTAACAACATGGTAGAAACCCTGTTGTGCAGGCTGGGCTGAGCATCCATTCTACACCTTTGTGTTGCGTTTTAGACAGAAATTTTCTTTGAAGCTCAAAATTGTAATATTTGGGCTCAACCAAATGGTACTTTCAACATGTTGTCTTAAGAAAAATCCATTTAGCTAGTTTGATATTTAAATGGAAACTATGTGGGTGCAACTATCAGCTTCTCAGGAAAGGAGTTTATTGCAAAAATGCTTTGTTCTTCTAATTTATTCAAAGAAGCTATGAGTAATCATTTGTGTATGATTAAAATACTTACCTATAAATAAAGCAGTTCAAATTTTAACTTGTGTCCAACTACAAAGCATGGTATTCTACTAACACAAATATGCGTATAGTTATGTATGCTCAGATTTACATACTGAAATTAATACTATTTATTTTTACTGGTCTGACTTTTTGCATATCACAGTTTTATCATTACTCCTACTCATCATATCAATCTTGGTTCATATCTGGAATACATATCAAAAAAATTTCTTTCTACACTCCAGTTATTCGTTCTCCTTTAAAATCCTGATGAAAATTTTACAAAACCCAGATATGCATCCTCCCATTATTTTCTGAGTTTCTAAAGGAATTAAAAACCTCAAAGTTTATTTAATAAAAATGTTCACATTCTTAGTCTTTGCGATAAAGGGAGCAAACAAAAAGTTACTTAAAACAATTTTTCTATACATGGCAGTCAATATTTAAGAAGAAAATAGAAGACATACAGTACTACAGTAAAATCTGACTAGAAAAAAAGCCTCTACAAATACATAAAGCTTTAGAGTCACAGATTTCATATTTGCACTTCTTCTCTAATAGCTTGAGTTAAGACTCAAACATAATATACTGAGCAGAAAATTAGGAATTATACAATGAAGCCTCTTCTCAAACAACAATATGCATATTTTTGGCAGATAGGGTTATATTCAACTTTTGAACCTTTTTCTTTTGGTAAAGTAACTCCATCACTGATTTCTCTTAAAAACACTTAGTTAAAAGATAATACAGATAATAAAAGATAATAAAACCATCCACCTAGGAAAAGCGAACCCTAAAATAGCTTTCATTACCTAAAATATGTTAAAAAGAACAATGGCAGTAGACACAACGTTTAAAGGTGAACTCAGTTATTGAAACATTTGTATCAAGGTTTATCAGAAGTGTTAGATTGACCAGAGTCATCATTCTCAAATGTCAAATACCCCCCCAAAAAACTGTTAGATGAACAATTGTAAGGCCCAGGCTGGGTAAACCTGTAATTATAAAGACTAATTTTTGTTGTTACCAACAAGTGTGTCCAGTTACCTCCATCCTCCATTTTAAACAACAGAAACTCTCAATAATAAATAGCAATCAAGCAAGTTTAATAAGAATGTTTTGAATTTAAAGCACATTTTGGTTACAAGTTCACAAGTTAGTGAGCTCACAAGTTAGTTATGGCTATATTTGTCTCTACTATACTTTGTTGTAAAGCTGAAGTGCTATTATAATATACCTTATCACATCGCACTGTAATGGAACACTGACTGGGCATGCAATAGATGAAATAACGCTAGATATTTGCTGAGAAATGATCATACAACATAGAAATGTCTTTACCACATACAAATATTTATCACTTGTTATTACTACTTAAACCTCAATCTATTTTAAAATGAATAGGTAAATTATTAATATTTAAGAAACATTACTTAAAGATCAATCACCATTTGTCAGTTATTACTACTAGTAAAAACCCCAGAATTACCCTTAAACTTTATTTTGGTAAATAAACACGAGTCACCTTTCCAGTCAACATCAAGTCACTTCTCAATAATTTAAGTATTAGGCCTCTGCATCAACTTTATAGAGATACAGTTTTTAAGTCTTTTACTAGTCACAAATCCTGAAAATATAACACATGCTCTGCCTAAAAGCACTATATTGGTAATAAACAGAGATTGTGCAGACTAAAATTATACAATTAGTCAAACTTAAAGCTTAGCAACAGAACTTAAGTATAAACGTCTGCTCACATGGGGAAATTGCAGAATAGCTTTTGGTTAATTTGCTTATATATCCACCACTTTATATTGCTGTATTAGCTAATTCAAGCAGCGAATAGCATCTTTGAATAATTTCATTATTAAGTTACAGAAGC